AGAGAGAGAGTGTGTGTCTGTGTGTGTAGAGAGAGAATGCAGACCAATATATGGAACAGAATAAGAACTCAAGAAAAGGTATTTCCCATATAGTCATCCTTTAAGCTCCCTCTCCTTTACTCCCATACTTATCTCTTGAGAAATATAAATACATAGAAGAACATGAATCACACTCATTATGTAGATAGAGTAAAAAAAAATCAAAGAACCTCACAATTTCTAGAGTAACCCATAACGAGTGCCTATTCTAACAATATTTAGTCAGACATACTAGTGAGATGGTCTGCTAGCTTGTTCTCTTTGTTCATATACACTGAATTTTAACATAGGAGTCATAATGTGTACATTTAAAAGCCATAAAAAATTGAATTATCTGATCATCTATATACATGTAAAGGGGCTTATTCACAAATAGACAAAAGCAAAAGATATTTTATTCCTTCAATTTTATGTGCACAATGTTTGATAAATTTTAGTTTTAAAATACAGATGGAATTTTCTATTAAGTATAATTTTAGAAACTACCAATTTATTAATAGAATGCCCAGAGTAACTGAAATTCTCTTGTCACTACATCTATAAGGTTCAGGAGTACAAATAGGATTCTTAATATCCACTTCTAATAAGTGCTTAGTATAAATGGTAGTGGTAGGTTCCTAATATGCTGTGTTAAATAATAAGATAAAACATATTGCCATTAACAAAGTAAAGAACACTAAAAGCAAACTAGATTGTACTCAGTCACAGATAAGGAGAAATCTGAGTGAAAATAAATGTTGGTCATCTTCAGGAGGTTTTAGGTATAGAGGACCCATATATGGCCATGCATTAGGCAACTCTGAGTGAAAACGACTGAGTTTAAAAGCAAGCAGAACCCAAAAAAAAGATGAGTAAAATCTGGCATCCTAAGTCCCAAATTTTAAGGAAACAGAAAGAACATAACGTCAACAAACTCAGAGACTGAGGAGTTCAATTAAGAGTTTCTTAATATAGCTATGTAGTGGTCATTGGTAACCTTAGAAAAACCTTTCAATAGTTAATGGGGCAGGGTCCAGGTAAATGTGAGATGAAAACCACATGTAAGTTGAAGATAAGTGAGCATGATTATTCTTAGAACATGTTTGACTAAGGAAACAATAGTAGTTGGAGGAAAAAGTACAGACATTAACAAAAGGTCATCTGGGGTAAATGAAAAAGATGAGACTGTTTTCAGAAGTAAAGCTTACCATATTTAAAAAGTGGGTACAGTACACAGTTAAGGGGAAAAAAATATGAATATACTATATAAAAATTAGCAAGCTGATCATAGATCTGCAACATATAGCAAAGGATAGGGAGAGAGGGTGGTCAAAACAGGGGCAAGAAGAACACAAGTGAATATGATGATGGTTCATGGGTGATATGGTGGTGGGAGAATGATGGGAACTACAGTGATGTAAAAAGAATAATTTAATTGAATTTTTTTAAGAAAAAGAAAAATATCAAATAACGTCACTAAGTAAATAAAAAAGTTAAAAAACTATATGTTCTGAGCAATAGGTGAAAGAATATGAAAAAAAGCACAAGAAATACTCTAGTTAGGACAAGTAACAGTTCTACCATTGATTTTGAAAGAGAATAGTTGTAAGTTTAGGTGAATTTGAGTATCTATTCATAAAACAGAGAGTTGTCATATGATGATGAGACTAATTTTATCTGTAATGTAGAAGGGTGCATCGGTGTGGACTATAATGCTGGAAGATTAAGAGATGAGAAATTTGAGAGAAGAGAGTATTTAAAAGGTGTTTTGGAAAAAAGAGCAATTAAAGACCAGAGAAGTCCAACTAATTAAGTCTAACTTAAGTGGTTATTCCAAATAGTATCCACTATTGGACATGCAAACAATTACCAGAGTAGATTAAAAATCTTAATTTTATATAAAATTAAAAATTGAAAGGAGTAAAAAGTATAGTCAACCAGTAAAAACAAGATTATTCCAAGACAGGTAAAATCAGGTGACCCAGAAAGCTACTGAATATTTACAAATTCATAAATCAAGAAGAAAACAGTAGTAATACATAGCAAATCTCAGAAGGATTTTTATTTTATCTATAGTCTTATAGATAAAAGTAAAGATAGACTTTAACAAAATAGTTCAGAAAATAGTTCAAGCCATTAAATATTAAGATATGATCAGTACACTATTGATAAAAACACAGTCATTTCAGAGACCTAGAAAAGTATGAAAAGTATGCAAATATTATACTTAAAATGAAAATTTTAATTTCTCAGAATTTTATACATATCACTAAAGTATTACTATACTTCAATTAAATGTCCACAATTAACTGTCTTCAAATTATTTTTGTTTTACTTACTCAGACTTCTTTTCATACGTCTTAGACGATTCTTCAATTTTTTTTTCTAACTCCATGACAGTCTCCTCTTTATTTAAAAGCATCTGCTGTGTCTGCATAAGTTCTTCTGCTAACGTTTTCAACCTGAAATGAACAGTTTTCTCAATATCAAACAACATATTGATTATACTAGCATTAAGCGCACACATATATGCCAAAGTAATTAGACAACTAAGGTTGTAATCCCAAAGTATACCTACATGTAATGTAATTTTTTTTTAAAGATTTATTTATTTGTGCATACAGAATTGGGGTACAGGCCAGACACTCAGGGGTTGCGAAAGACTTCACAAGAGACAGAGCGGGAGCAGAACAGGCAGATTGACGAAGTACACTGCTGAGGGGAGCAGCGGGCGGGTCAGGAGAGGTCTGCCACGCCATGTGGGTCTCCTCCGGGGCAGGCGGGAATCGAACTCATGCGCAAGTGGTTTCAGCTTCTTAGTGCTGTGCTTTAACCCGCTGCGCCACTAGGGAGGGCCCATGTAATGTAATTTTAATGTAAATTATGTAACAGTTAAAGTTGAACTCCTTAGTTACATAAAGGGTACAGTTGCCAAACAGATGCATTGGCTAAGGGTGGACATACTAAAAAGCAAAGAAAAGAACATTTCAACAATCGTTGGTCAGTGAATGTTCTGGGGAATTTTCTTCACTGAAAGGAAAAAGAAAAACAGAAAATAGAAGAGAACTAAAACAAATAAATACCTGTACTGTTCCAAGAAAAGCATACAGTTAAAAATCATGCTTGTGGTTTTCAGACAAATAGGTATTTAAATTCTGACTTTGCCATTATTTTTTCTTTGAAAGATTTATTTATTTGTGCATACAGAACTGGTGTACAGGCCAGAGGCTCAGGGGCAGCTAGAAGCTTCACCAGAGACAGAGTGGGAACAGAGCAGGCAGATAGATGAAGTACACTGCTGAGGGGAGCAGCAGGCGAGTCAGGAGAGGTCTGCCACACCATGTGGTCACCTCCGGGGCAGGTGGGAATCGAACTCATATGGAAGTGGCTTTAGCTTCTTAGTGCAATTCAGATTTCATATTTTGTTTGCAGTTAATAACAACAAAATAAATCTCTGTAACTTTCAGAGGGCATTATAGTATCCCAGAGAAATATGATCAATGATGCTTATAATAATTACCCACCTTATCAGGGAAATATTAATTTTAATCTGCAACTTTAAACATATTTCTAAGAGATTTGCATCTAATCTAGTAAAATTAGGGCCCTCCCTGGTGGTGCAATGGATTAACGCACAGTATTACAAACCTAGCTGCAGCCACTTCAGCATAAATTCAATCCCAGGGAGGTGGCCCAGCAGACCTCTCCTGTCTTGCCCACTGCTCCCCTCAGCAGTATACTTCATCAATCTGCCTGTTCTGCTCCCCACTCTCTCTCTGGTGAACCTCTTACCCCCCCTGCACCACTAGCATGAACCTCAGATCTGGTATGCATAAATAAATAAATCTTTTTAAAATCTAGTAAAATCATATTTATGAACTTCATTTATTTGGTAAACTGACTTAGGATCGCAATATCCTGTTTACTTGATCATGAAGACATTATTGTATTAAAATCAACCCAATTATTAATGCATTACGAAAATTAAATAAACTTAACAAATCAGGCAAGGGAACTTCACAATGAAAATTATAAGACACTGTTAAAAGAAATAGAAGACAAAGAGGGAAGGGAGCATAGTGGACTAGAGATGGAATATAGGTGTTTGGGGGTTGGGTGTGGTAGGGAAACAAATCTGAAGGAGAGTTACTGTACTTCTAAATATACACAACGTTGTAAACCAACGTAGGTAGGAAGGAAAAAGGGAGAGAGGGAAGGAAAGAGGAAGAAAAAGAGAGGCCCAAGAAATGAAAAGATAATCCCAATCCCATGCAATTCAAGAATGAACATATTTTATCCAAAACAATATATAGATTCATTGTGATCCCTATCAAAGTTTCAATGTCATTATTCGAAAGTAAAAAACAACCATGACTGAAATTCACATGGAACCACAAAAGAAGGCCCTGAATAGCCAAAGCAATTCTGATAAAAAGAACAGAGAATCATAATTACAAGCTTCAACTACAGCAGAAAGTTATAGTAATAAAAACAGTATGATATTATACTAAAAACAGACACATAGCTTAATAGAAGGACTGAGAGCCCAGAAAGAAACCCACACTTTTATAGACACTTAATCTATGCCAAAGGAGCCAAGAGTATAAAATAAAGACGTGAAAGTCTTTTGAACAAAGGATATGGGAATACAGATGCCACAAAATGAAACTCTATCACTATTTCATACCACATACAAAATTAACTAAACTAATTACAGATTTGGATGTAAGTCCTGAAACTATAAAATACATCCAACACAGGCAAAACACTCCACAACACAGATTTCATGGATGTTTTGAGGTACTTGACTCCAACTGCAAGGGAAATCAAAGTGTACAGAAATGGGTCAAGTAAAAAGCTTCTGCACCGAAAAAGAAACAATCTTTAAAATGAAGACACTACTGAGTGGAAAAAAAAGACTTTTGCATATTCTTATATCTCTCAAAGGGCTTATATCCAAAATATACAAAAACTCATACAAGTGAACAAGAAAAAAGAAATAAACCAATTAAAAAATGGGTAGAAATATGTGTACGTATAGGTACAGAGAGAGAGAGAGAGAGCCAGACAGACATATACATGTAATACATACCACGGAATACAACTTAGCTACCAAAAATATGATAAACTACATCTCAACATTTATGACAATATGAATGTAACTAGACATGAGAGAAATAATTCAGGAGAAAGCTAATGCCAGGTAGAATACTGAAAACCAAAACACACCCTAGAAATCTGACTATACAATTGAGAATACCAAAGGAGGAGTGAAATGGTAGAGATAAAATTGGGAAAGGGGTCCAATGAACTATGGTGGAGAACTATGGGTACGTGGGGAGTATGTGTGTGGTGTAGTAACATGCATCTGAAAGATGTGAAACTATACCTCTGAGTCATATACAATATTATAGAACATTGTTATCTCAATGAAAAAATACAATTTAACAGAAAAGAAATAATAAATAGAATCAGAGATCATTCTCAAAAAAGCTATATTTCAGCTTCTGGTTTAAGTTATCAAATAATTACAAAGAATTCAGTAATTATACATCAATCTGTGTTGTTTTAAAACTCTGCCTCATATGTAATCTCTTACTATTCTCTTAATAGTTTGAAACACAGAACCATTCCTAGAACTTGTTTGAGCTACTTTCTGTCATCCTAAAATTTGGAAGAAACAGGGAAGAAACCAGTTTCTCACCACTGATTTTGCATGTTACATTAAAGCTGAATTGATAGCGTTTTTCCCCATGTTGCCGTCCTCTGGTCTATTCTTTTCCTTCTGTCTCTAAACTGAAAGGTGCTTGCACCATTGTAAACTCCTATCTCTTCCACCTAGTACAGTATGCAGACATTGTGTACTCAACTCAGTTTCCTATGCCTCTTTTTTCCTCACTAGAGTTTTACACATTAAACTTTTTCTGCAATTCCTTAGTAGCTCCCTAGACTCCAGCTTTTTCTCATTCTGAATTATATCTGAGGTGAAATCAAAGATAAAATTCAATCAGAAAACATCCTGTCTTTCATACACCAAAGAATTCTAAAGTTCAACAGACATATAAACCAATACTAAAGTGACACAGTGAGGGAAGCGTCAGTTCTCTGTATGAGTGAATTCAGGACTGGCTCCTTTCATCAAGCTAAGCTCTATACAAGGTAAAAGTAAAAGAAATATCTGTGTTCACAACTCTGAACTGTGTTCACAACTCTGTAGTTCTAATGTATTTTATAGTCTACTATTCTGTTGTTACAGAAACCAGTCCTAGAGCCAGACACCCAATATTTATTTTTGTTAACTTCCATTTCCTCTTCTAGTAAATGAAATTGACACTTGAGTTGAAAATATTATTCTATGACTATGATGCATACATTTAAAGTTCTTAGTACATATTTTTAGCAAAGCATTTTTGCTTTAAATATAACACTATATTATTAACCACTTACATTAGTTTTATGAGAAATGTTATTCTGAAAAGTAACTTTGAATTTCATCTTTTACTTTTTTGTAAATAAAATTTTATTAGCAATTTAATTCAAAAAATGATGTTTCTCCCAAGACAAATATAGGCCTGAATATATTTTAAAAAAAAATCAAGCATAGATTATATCTTACCAATACACTATTCCAAATTAAGGAAAAATAAAGGGACTTTACAATCATATTAAATTAAAAATAGGATTTACCACATTTTTAATAAAATTCTTTTTCCTTTTACAGCAATGTCTATTCCTAGAACTTTAACTGTGGTAATATGAAGTTTCTTATTTCCATGAAAAATGAGTATCTGTTTACATTTCTTTGTTACCAATGGAGTTCATAGTTATCACTTAACAATAATTAACTGTAAATGCTTATTTGTTATTGCGGATATACAATGACATTTTATGTATTTCATCTTTAAAAATGCCCTTATACAGTGGGTGCTGTCAAATAATATCATATCCACTAACATGATTTTGAGTACATTTATTATTTAGCAGACATTTATAAAATTATATTGCACACTTTTTAGCAAGTAATTACATTGCACACTCATTCTAATTCGAACGTATGTGGGAACTATTCAATTGACAAATGGATTTTTGAATACAGAAACATTTGCATCAAGGTCAAACATTGCTGTAAATGTATTTTATGCTTAGAAAATATTTCAGGTACAATTTTGGTGGAAATGGGACACTTGAAAAACCAAACAAAATATATATAAAACAGCTTGACATTACGTGAGATTAAAATACATTAGTTGTCATCAAAATGATTGTAATGCAGGCCCTCCCTGGTGGCACAACAGGTTAAAACACAGCACTGAGAAGCTAAAGCCACTTCCGCATGAGTTCGATTCCCACCTGCCCCGGAGGTGACCACATGGCTGGCAGACCTCTCCTGACCCGCCTGCTGTTCCCCTCAGTAGTGTATTTCGTTGATCTGCCTGTTCTGCTCCCCACTCTGTGTCTGGTG